ACATTGACTTTCCTCCAGTCCTCCGATACCTCCTCTGTTCTCCAGGACCTTTCAAAGATGATGGAGAATGGCTCAGCAATAACATATGCCAGCTCACACAGGAGTGTTGGGTGCATCCCATCAGGGCCAATGGATTTGTGGTTATCAAGTTATTTAAGTGCTCTCTAACCGATTCTTCCTCTACCCAGGGCAAGTCTTCCTCTCTCCAGACTTCTTCTCTTGTCTCTAGGGTCTGAGATTCCAAAGGGCTGCCCTTGGTAAACATTGAAGCAAAGTCTTTTGTAGCCAGGGTACCCACTCCATTCAACAGCAGACTCACATTTTCCCTGATCTTTCTTTTGCTACTGATATATTTGAAGAAGCTCTTCTTGTTATCTTTAACATCCCTTGCCAGATTATACTGACAGTTTACCTCACCTGTATAATTCTTTATTTTTATTTATGTTTGTTTGCTTTGTAGGCAGTGGTATTTAAAAGAGGATTTCTGTTTTGTAGAATATTTTGTATCCAAGTTACAGAGAATCATTAAATGCTGAGGCTGTACTTTTGAAATTAATTAATGTTGGAAGCTCTTATTATAAATGCAAAACAATTTAACAAAGGTTAAAATTTTATGCAAATCRAAAACTATAGCATGCACATCAATTTTTTTTTATTATTTTAATGAGTTGTCTTGCTATTGTAAAGTTTCAAGCAATATTTATTTTAGGGGTGGGTGGGAAGGTACTTTACATTTGTTTTCATATGTTTTCCAAAAGCAATAATTCTGAGTGATATTTCTAAATAATTGATTGTAGAATTAGTCTGTGATGCTGAGAGCATAATTCATTTCCTATCTGTAGGGTTAAAATTATTGACAATCATTGACATGATTCTCTCGTATATCTCACACCTTAATGTGTCATTTCATCTTTTTATATATATATATCTCCAATTTTCTAAGTTTTCTCTCTTTTATTGTTCTCTCTATATAAAATAAATGTTCAATAGTTGGTGTAAGAGTTAGTTAATGTAGTATTTTTGCTACAGATCTGCTACCTGGATATTTTGAATCATATTTTTGAATGTGTAATGTGTCATTAGTTTGCATTATTGGCAGAACTGCTCTTCACTGTTCATATTCATCTCATATCCTTACCTTTTGGATTTTTTATTTATCTGAGGAAAATAGCTTCATAACATTTTTTAAGAAACATCTTCATAGTTATTTTACTAGTAAAATGTCAAATTTTATGGAATAAAAACATAACTATATATCAAAAAATATTTTTAAATTACATTTGCATTGGAAGCTTTAGGTTAACAGATGCACATATGGTAATACACACAACTTTAAATCTTTACACTTCTACTTCAGAAGCAGTTTTAAAACACATATTTTTTTTTTTATTTTTTTCTGTTAAGCATCATTCTTTTCACTATCTAGTTCTTAGTGCATTTTGAACTTTTAAGAAGTGGAGTATATCACCTRGAATCCTACTTCCTATGTAAAATTTTGGTATTTTGGGGAGCTATTTCCACCAAGAACTAGACATTCAATCAAYAATCATCTGGAATAGAGATCAAAATATATCACCACAATTTTGGATAACTTTTTTTTTCTTGTTGGTTTTATAGATTGGATAGCAATAGTTAGTGTTCCTAGTTTGTTTGTGCTTCTAGGTTTATAACCAGCAGAAGCATACTAGGTTTAAGACAGAATATGGCCTTTCTTGCTAAAATTTAATTTATTTTTGTGAATGTGGACTGCAAGTATTCATGTGACATGAGAGCAGTAACAGCTGTACCTTGAAAAAAAGTGAATATCCTGGAAGAATCTATTTATGCAAAATGAAATGCAACATWTGATTAGTCTATGCCCTCTGCTAAATTGTGGATACATCATAAAAGCTACTATAAAGGTCCAAAATTTCAGGGACTACTTAATATCTGCCTTTGAAATAAATTTAAAAAAAAAAAAAGATTGCAGTTCTCAAGGCATACTGATACACAGTCTATCATCACCAGTTAATTTATATTTTTAAATGAAATTAAAATGAAATAAAACTGTTGTCTTATTTGGATTTCCACATATTTGAAAATTCCTTCTTGAGGCTGCTTTTCAAAACTCACATCATCCTCCTGCCTAGAATCTCACATAATAAGCAAATCTTTTGTGAAATATTTATTTACAGTACTGCCTTGTAAAAATATATAACCACTCCTTTTTTTTTTTTTTTTTTTTTTTTACATGGGGTTTAAATACAATAAGTACATGAATATGTTTTGATATATACATGCTCTAGGTGTCCCTGCTTGAGCGGGAGGGTTGGGCTACATATCTCTAGAGGTCCATTCCAACCTTGAACATTCTGTGATTCTATGATATCGTTTTGGTATATACTTTCTTTGTACTTTCTTTGAACCTTAAACAGATATTCATACCAAACATGTATGAATCAATAAAAAGCATTGGATCATATTTATAGTAATGATATATATTTTGCTCTTGAAAACTGAGGAAAAAACATGAACTGGCTTTGCACAGAATTTATTCCTAAAGAATATCAATTCATATGTCTCCGATTATTGCACATTTAGTAACCAGATCAATTGCACAGCTCTTGATCAGGTTTTAAATGTATAGAACATAGRAAAAAACAGCACATATTTCCCTTTAGCCTTTATTTATTCTGAAAAACAACAGAATATTATTACTTTGAGATTTTACTGTCATGTTRAACTAAATTGAATATTCCTATTATCGTTAGTCTTTCATTTACAGTTCTCTTTCTCAAAACACACAAAACTTTCTGACTCACCTGCCAAGAATTCTGCTTTGACAAATCATTTATTGTCTTGTCATTTTTGAAGTTACAAACCCATCTTACCTCTGTTTTTATTGTGATAGGATCCAGTACCCTCTAAATGCTGAAGTCATCCCAATGTCTTTTCATTGTTCTGAAAGGAAAAAAATCAATATAACAAGCACAGCTAATGCTAAGCATCTTGGGTTTTGATCAAATTTGATCAAAATAAATCAGACACTGTAAAACAAAAACTGTGAAAATATCTCTTATCAGTGGAAGTACTTGTTTTCTTGCATTCAAGCACATTTGCATAGTTTTTGAGCACATTGGTTTTTTGCACTTGGCATGTCAAAAATAAACAGCAGAGGATAAGTTCCCAGAAAACACAACATAGTTCTTTACAGCTACAACACAGAAATGCTTGTGTACTGCCTATCTAGGTACGAGTTTCCTACCTCTTGATATCAGATGTTGAAAGTTTCCCGTGGTTACTTGTTGCTCTTGATTTGTTTGTGCAAATTCCTTTCATCATGAACTCTACGTTTGAGTCAACAGGCTCCTTTACCAAGTACTGTAAATCAGTGCAGGAGTGGTATGTTAAGCCTTCTCTCTTCTTCTTCTCTCATGCCTTTCTCATATCTTCTCCTTCCTCGGGGGTATGTGCTTATAATAGGATATTGCATTGGGCTACAGAAAAACTTTTAGTTTTTTAAGATATGATTCTTTTTTTCTTATAAAGCCAGATACTTCAGTTACAAAAAAAATAAAATAAATAAAATAAAAAGATTTTTTATTATTTTGGTTGTACTCAATAGAAAATATCTTGGAAAGAATTAATTAAAAAACACTTATTGTTGCACTTAGGAAGTTATATAAAAATAATTATGAGGGTAGGCTATCTTTAATGGAATACAGAATTAGGGTTCAGCAGACAGCTGACAGTTCATTGCATAGTTTTTCTTAACAACTTGGAACTGTTGTTGCTATGGTTATAAATGTCAGTTTTCTGTGCTCTACCACTGGAGTATTGATAACTAAATAATAATAATAACTAATAACTAATAACTATAACATACTTTCAATACTGTAATACTACGTTATATTCTCAGTAACCAAAGTGTGCTTTTGTGGGTAGCAATGGGGGCTGCCAGTGGGGCCTGCTGGTTCCTGGCCACTGGATCCCATCATCCTCCCTGAGGGAACAAGGCCCGAGTGAGTGAAAAGAAAGCCATAAATGACTAAAAATATTTTTTTTCAGAGAACTCATTAAAAATATGTCCCTTTTTCAAAACAGCTATTAGAAGCCCAGTGTAACAAAGTAAATTTCCCAGATATATTATTTATGCAGCAAAATGAAATCTACAGTGTTAAGCATTAGCACTCTCACTCCTGAATTATAGCAATAATTAAAGGCCATTAGTTAGAGGTATAAGAAATAATTGTTATGCACAGGTATTGCATTATCTACATGGAAATTTGAGGAATCTGTGTTATTTTCCAAAAGAAACAGTTAATGTGATTGGTAAATTGGTAGGGGGAAAAAAAAATCCTTTATTTTCTTTTGTAAAAGTATAATTGAATTTTAGTCTAAGTGAAAAATTCATTGTATTCTTAAAATGGAACTGAAATTGCTGTCCATATTCATTATACATGCACACTACAGTTTAGATTGTAAGATATAAAATAGATTAATTTCTGATAACTAAGCTTTTTATTCAGCTTCATAAAATAAAAATACTTCTATCTTTGGTCCAGCTTTATCCTAACTGAGCCAAATTTTAGATGTCTTGAGTAAATTATGATCCTCACCTTCACTGAATTTCCTTGGTGAAGTACAATTATTCAATTACTATTTGCAGACAATTGCATGGCATGAAGTTCAATCAATTAAGTTGCCCTTAAAGGATATCTTACCAAAATGTAGTGAATTTTTTTGTACTGTATTAAACATGAAACAAGTGCGTAAATAAGTGAAACATCACTTCTGAATTTAGCTCAGCAGTGTAATGGCACCTTAAAGTTATTGTAATTGTGTATTTCTTAAATCAGAGCTATTGGTTAATAATTTATTTTAAAATGTTCTACAGCTACATGCACTTATTTCTAACTTGAAATTCTGATTTATTTTTACTGATCGAAAGCTTACTTACAGGGCCATCTCAAAGCAACTTTTCTTCATTTAAAAGTATACATTTACTTTCTTTTTACTAGGTTATTCAGATAAATTTTGAAGAATTTGATCTGGAGATTGGCTATGACACGCTGACAATCGGTGATGGAGGAGAAGTGGGTGATCCTAAAACTGTGCTTCAAGTGTAAGTGTTTTGCATTTACACTCTGTATTACAGAGTATCATTCATGTGATTGTTTGGTGACAGGCCATAAGGACAAAAAAGAGATAATTCCTAACAAAAACTAATCTTACCAAGCTTCTGAAATTTCTTAACACTGGCAGGTTAGATACATTATTTTATTATGAAATTACTGATTTAATATCAGAAAGAGAGGGATTGGACAGCAAAAGGGAAAAAAGATAAACTGACATACTTTTAAAGAGATATATTCAATCTCTATGTTCATGCGTACACATGTAAACTTGTAGAGCCGCTTGCTTTGCAAGCAGTTTGTCATTTACATAGTTATCAGGAAGCTTACACCAGAGCAAGCTTGTTTTGAAAAAAGATGTACTGTAAGGCTTGACCTTTATGTGCTTATTGACTGTGGTAGATAGGCCCAGAAAACAAGCTAGTATGGTGAAGAAATGATTACAAAGAAAATCTGAGTAGGACCAATATAGTAAACCACTCTGTTTGGATTTGGCTTCTTTAAAGGTGTTAATATTAAAAAAAATGCATATAAATATACCTAGAAATGTCTGACATATTGGGAAAAAATATGCAATTACCATGTTAAGCCTATTATAAACTTAATGAAATTCTGTATCATTTTATTTTAACGAGGAGTTACAATTGTCATAAGATTCAGTTAAGTGTTAATACGTATGATAAGATGTAAAGAACTGATCTATAAAGAAGTAGGCAAGTATTTTTTTTCCCAAAAATCACACAGAAGGCGGAATATAATTTAATTTTGTTAAAAACTTGTAAATATTTTCTCCTCTGAGCTATGCAAATGCTGTCTGGGATATCAAGTATCTCAAATACATAATCTATTTTATGATATAGTTTTGGATCATACATTTTAAAATAATTATCTTTTCTCCAGCAAATTGATAATTGTTTTGAATGTGACTGCTTTATTGYATATCATGTTAAAATGATTATTTATCTTTCAGTTTATCAAAATTAATCAGGAATCTTACCCAAACATTTATTCTCTTAGCATTACTGGGCACTGCTGGATAGGAAAGTTCAGAACACAAACCTGAATTTAAGCAGCATTTAGATAGAATTATGCTTCCTAAATCCAGCTCATAGTCTTGATAATTCCTGCTCTGCTGGTGCTAGGCATGGAAGTAGATAAACTCCAAAAACATTTCAATATTTGTAATTAAATTTCGCTAGGTGCTTAGATATACTTGCACCCAGGAACATGAGCAGTTGCTTAAGCCTAGTGAGCTCAGCACCTAATGGCCTGTTCAGAAAGTAGTTGTTGGACAAGGTGGCAGATATGAAGCTGTTCTTAGTGCTTGCCCATGTAACGAAAAGTTTCACAAGAAAACTTGGCAGGCAGAAGGTTTAATACTAAGGGCTAAAGATGAAAAAGGAGGAAGAAATAATGGTTCCTTCTTCCTACAACAGAGGCATCACTTTTTCAGGATGTTGGGAAATGTGGTTTCGGGAGTTTGTCCAGACAGTTGTTGCAGGTGGCTCTTCATTTGGGTGCACCTTGACACTGGCTGTAACACATTTGGAAGATCCAGTCAGCAAGCCTTACACTTTTGGTATGACTGTTATAATGGGTATGCATGTGGATGCACTCCATCTTCCATATTGCGGATCATTGTTAGCAAAAGGAAAGGAGAGTGTCCCACACTTCTAAATTTCCTCTAAGCCACTCTTGGGTGATCTGTCTCAGCAGAAATCTATCTCACTACTCTGGGAGAGAAGTAGTTTTGGAGCCCTTGTGGAAGGGTTGGAATTTGAAAACACCCTGCTGAGTGATATAACTGATAAGCTGTTTAATAAAAGAAATAAATAWATATATATATAAAAATGAGGCCTCCTAATCATTATCTATCCATCTTTACAGTGCTTGCTGCAGTTTTTTTTAAAGAGAGGTATAAGAACTTACCTCCAGGATAGGAATCTAGGCAATGTTGTTGTGAAATGTTGCAGTTTGAAAGCTGCAGGGAGTGCAACAGAAATTGGCCGCGGGGTCTTCACTCCGCTCCATCCTCTGCTACTCCCCTTTGCAGCTGTGAGGAGGGCAGATTGTGTTGCCCAGGCAACTGTGAAGGAGCAGAGTCCGTGCGTATCAGCCATCCTGGAAGTGGCAACTGTGTCTCACCCCAAGCAAGCTTCTGCAATGCCAAAACTTCTGTTAGGCCCTAGTTTTCCAAACAATTCCTCCACAAATGTATATGGAGCAGAATAAGTCTCAAATCCCATAAGAAAAGACAGGATAATTCACCCTCAGTTTCACTCTATTATCTTAAGTAGCCTTTTCTGGATCTTAGTGATTTATAGCCCAAAAGTCTTCCCACATATATCAAAGGCAGACCTAAAAAACTTAAATCAGCATTTTGCAGGATTCTTCACAGGTCATGCAGATGCCGAAATTGCAGATAACTCATGTCCTTTCACAATGGGAGATGGAGGGCAAAAAATACGGTCTCTGAAAACTACCTAGAAAAAAAAAAATAAATTGCAAACATGTATTTATAACTGATTTAACAAAGCAGAAATGATGAACATTTCTATCCTATACATCATAGGAATTGTTCTCTGTGACATTACTTAGAGATTGATATTCCCAGTGGCCGTGACCAAAATCTACTCTCTCACCAGTGACAGTTACAGAGCTCTGTTGGCCATTACCAGAGTGTTGTTTCTAATGGAGGGACAGGCTRTTAATCTATTAATTTGGCAAAGCCTTAAATCACTGAAGACACTTCCCTTAGAACTGGAAAGAGCAGTTAGTGCATTATTTTATTTTGGCCAGGCGGTTACTTGTTCAGTTCTGGCAACAGTTGCTGTAGTAGCTCCATCTGTGAGCGCAGATGTGAGAAATTGCATTGAATTTTTCCCACAGAAAATTATTTTATACAGCAACAAGCTAAAAAAGACGAGAGGGGAGATCTAAATTTAACTGCAAAATATATTTTAAATGGACTATTTAAAGTTTCAACTTGTTATAAAGAATGATTACAACTGGTGAAGAAAAAACAACCCTATTTTTACATAATCTTGTGCTTGTGATCCTAACTTCAGCAGGATGGGAATGTGTTGTTACTTTCCATCATTCCGTTGATAAAAGAACCAACAAACTCTTACCAAATCTGAGATAAAGCTTTCTTGTTTTTTGAAGAAAAAGAGAAGAATGTAACTTGTAAAACTGCAGGTTTCAGAATGCTTTGTTTCTATTGTCATAATATTTAAGAATCATTCAGCAAACCAAATGAACATGTAGTATTGCACTGACTTTCAAATTTTTATATTACGACAAGTAAAAAAAAACAGTGAAATTCATGTGTTTATCTATGGATGGTCTGTATCTCTGGCAATACATTGTAAGGTTTGAAATATAAGTCTTGCAGACACAGAAGTTGCAGAAGTAGTGTCCTACTGGAACAGGAGTTGGAGGACAGTTACATCTATAGCTATACTATACAATTTTGTATCTGAAAAACTAAATTAATTGCAAATTGTTTTCTTTTTTTTAATAATTACTCATTAATTACTCAATGTCTGACAACATTGAAAAGTTTTAAAGTCCTGATATCTGATATTTGTGCTAATGAAGGAATGCCACATACCTTCTTCCACCACTGTAATAGAGGTGATGGGGGGAGACGAAACAGTGTATGAAAAACAGGAGTATTGATAGCCATGTTGTGATTTAAGAAATCTCATCTTAAATATGGGATATCTGCATTCCAAAGTGGGATAGTTACATACCAGAGAAACTCTATACCTGAAGAACTGGTACAGTGCCTTATTATCAGCTCCTGGTGCTGTTTGATGTAGCTGCAAGTATTTGACACATGTACGCAGGATTGCCAGAAAAGATTCATGGTGAGGAGAGACACATGCCTTTCTGGACTACTAACTGAAGGTGAGGTGAGATCCTTCACTATATTCCAAACAGAAGTTGTATTTATGGATTTCTATCAAACCTGTAGCTAGTGGAACTTTGAGAGCTGTATCAATATATAATATTATATAGAATATGTTATTCTTCAACAGTTATTTATATTCTGTCTTAGATCAAACTGCCAAAACCAGAAATGTTCTTATTCGTTAATATTTAAAATATGATTTTTTCCCAGTACTTGTTTGTGATATGGTTGTCTTTTCAGACTATAATTAAAGCTTCCTTCTTGGCTCTTATCACTGTTAAGAAAGCCTAAAGTGCAATGACTTTATACTGATTTTTCTTTCTCTAGGTTAACTGGGAGCTTTGTACCAGATTTAATTGTGAGCATGAGCAATCAGATGTGGTTGCATCTTCAGACAGATGAAAGTGTGGGTTCGATTGGCTTCAAGGTTAACTACAAAGGTAACAACATATAATTGAAAGCAAATTTAACAGTATACCAAATAAAGACAATAATATGAGATGTTCTTTTGCACTAGAAGATGCGTTATTTTCACAGTTTTGTTATTTTTTTTAAAAAAAAGGTAGGAGAATGCAAGATCTTTGAGTTGGAAATAATAGTCAAAATAAGCTTGTTCTCATAAAAGGTCTTACATCCTGTGAAATTGTGTAATTTTTGTATAGTGTCCTTGAAGGAATCAAATCAAAGAAGTTTTTCATTCATTTTTGTTATTTGTTTCATGTTGGAAAATATTACAATGAAATAATTTTGACTATTTAAAGCTGAATGCATAAACATACACTTCTTACATTCCTTTGAAAATTTGTCATGTCTATCACAACAAAATAACAGAAGCCTATTGTTGGAATTTTCTAGGATTTTTGGACCTAGACAAGGAAAATCTTACATTATACTATTGTTCTTTACTGTCATAAGATGTATAAAACAGTTGTTGCTATTTGATGCCTCTAAAAGAAACTCCAAGTTTTATACAGCATGAACATCAGCATCAAGCAGAGAATTAAGAATAAAAATAGATATTGCTTTGTATCATTACAGACTTTTTTTTTTATTTTTTGGATTTAAAATAGATATAGCTTCTTAGTTTCAAGTACTTGAAATACCTATTTTTTAATACGACATTTTCTGCCTGTCCTTGAAACAGACAATAGACTATATCATAATTATTTAGTTAAGTAGAGGGAGAAAATGAAAAAGTCTAGCTAATAACTATGTATGTTAGAAATAGAGTAGATTTTATGTTTTGACATTTATTGATGCTTTCACATAAGCTATTCCTCTTCCCTATCCAAAATTTTAATCAGTCCAAAGGAATTCTCTGGATTCCAAGTGAGTCTTATTTCCAAGTCAAAATAAATAAGATCTAATGCATGATTTGGAGAAGAAAGAGAATCACTGAGSTACATCATGTTGTGAAAGGAATGGAGTGATGGCAAACAAATAGGATAAGGAATAGAGTGTAGTTAGTAGCTCAAAAGAATGAGAAGACCCTGAAAAAAAAGATAGAGGAATGATGAATATTAAGAATTACTGGAAATAAAGCTGAACAGTATGAATTGCTGTTTCTTTCTACCCTTAAGTTCCTTTTGATTGAGTCCATTAAAATTGGTAACGCACTTACACACTTACTTATGCACTTAATACTATTCAGATGATTACATCAGAATAAGACTAAGATTGGAAGAGTTTAATACTTATTAGTGTGATAGTTTTTAAAATTAAGGAATGCCACATTCCTAGCAGTTGTTGAAAGGGGAAGAAATGGTCAGTAGAAAGGCATTAAAAAAACAGAAAGGAGATGAGATGTAATTTTTGAATATAGCAAGCCATGGCTAAAAAGTGGCAGAAAAACTTCTTTTGATCTCAATTTGAAATAATTTGCACAGCTCAAATAGTTGTTTCCTTTATTTACATAACTCTTTTCAGTAAAATAATTTTACCCACAATAATTTTAGTTTGCAGAGGGTAGAGGGTTACTGGCTAGTATCTTACTGTGTGCTGGTATGTTTGGTTTTATTCATGAGTTGTTACACTTTTTCTTAGAAACAATGGTTCTGAAAGAATAAAATTGAAATTGAAAGGTAGGAGACAGAAAGAGTGAATACTTACACAGTGTTATCACCATATAATCAACTATCTGTATGATTGCATATCTCTCTAACTGCTGAGACTGTTTTTATCTCTCTCCCTATAATGATACTTTACATTAACTCACCAAGTAGCATTTGAATGAATCAAGCTTTCAACAATTTTTTTTTTAATTTGTTTTGTCTTATTTATTTATTTATTTATTTATTTATCTGGATTATGGTTTTAGATTTTTATCAGTTGCCTTCGTTTTGATCCCTGAGAGAGTATATTTGTTCATTAGATATAAGAGCATTGGCTAATATTTCCTTCATTAAGATACCTTTATTTGAAATCTTTCAGGACACAACAGTAGGCTCTGAACATAGATGTCTAATTGGATAATTATTTGTATAAAAAGCTGGTTCACAAAGTAAAGATTATTAAATGAGTTTTGGAATGAACTTGAGAATTTCTGAAGAGAAATATGATTTCCAGGAGTCCAAGTAAAAGTTTAAGACTACTTATGTAACAACATGAATTATTACATTGCATGCCCAAGCTGTCTATATTTCTTTTAATAGGATAGGTCAAATTTTATTCCTAGAGCTTGGCTCCTTTTACCTCACAACTCCTGCTATCCATTCCAAGATTCAATGTAACTGTGGCTTCCGATACTGTATTTATTTTTATATATTACATATATAGATCTTGACAGTTTCAACTTACATAAAAGTGGATCTACATTAGCATCTTAGATTAGATCCGGCAGTGTGCTTTTGGAGTGAACCTTCTGATCACCCCAACTCCCCTTGCTTTGGCTGACATCATGGAACAATCTTGAAATGCACCAAATATATTGTTCTGATATAATTCAGAGGATGCACTTGAACAGCATTTCTGATGCACTACAGCTGCTAATGGACACTCAGTCCAACTTATCCAAAATAAAACACTAAAACAAACTGAAACTTTTATAAGTAAATAATACGGGTATTGTATCTTCTATTATTTCATCCTAAAAATTGTCACATTTTGGAGAAAATTGCTGTTAATGTAATTGATTCAGTACTTGCTAATAGCCACACTGCTTGCCCATTAAAATGCTTTGTTGCCTAAATATCTGCATCTCTGCATCCCAAGTCTCAGCTAAGAACAGAGGTAGCACTGTCATGCCTGCCTCATACCACCAAGGTTTGTAATGGATTTGTAAAAGGATTTGTAAAGATWTGTAAAAAATGAGCAGTGATTCAATGTAGCAGATGTTTAGGTCTAAGCCTGGCAAATTTTTCAAGAAAATAGATTGTTCTACATGGAACATGAGAGGAGGAACWGAAGGCTATGGGATATTCTTAGGTAGTGCCTGTTTACCCTATGCCCYCCAAAACAGTGAAAGAGAAGCCCAAAGTGTGAAAGAGAAGGTTAAGTCCTTTCCGAATGGAATAGGATTGAATTCACAGTATCATTTGTCTTGAATGTGTGATCCACCAAGTATTGTTCCTGTTCACTTTCTCCCTTTGAAATGCACTTCAGGTTAGGTAAATGGAAAGACTGAGAAACAGCTGAAAATGAATTCTTGAATACTTTCACATTCTTTAATTTAGGAGGTTTTAAGCTGAAAAATTATTTCAAAACTATGTTATTACAGGAACTAACAATTTATTCTCTTTTATGTACCTGCCATTTCAGTGAACCTAGTAAGTAGTTGTGAAATAATAAAAACCTTTGGCCTCTTCTAGACTTAATAATGTTGCATATCGAGTCATTTTATGGTTTTAATCTGTAGGGAAAAAAAAAAAAAGCCTCTTTACAGCTATTTAAATGAGAAATAATGATTTTTTTTTTTTTTTTTTTTTTTTTTTTTTTTTAAATCCCTGATTACCAACCTACTTAGGAAAGTAGAACAATAAATATCAGGAATGGACTAGGGAGAAATACAAGCTCTGGTCCCTGGTTCAGTAAAGGCACATATATATAGGTATATATATACACCTATTCCTGCATTACTGCGTAGAATGTCTTCATGTTTCAGATCTGTATGCATTCTGTATTTACTGTATATTTTGATGGGATATATGGAATACTTAATATTCTAAAAACTCAAATGTATGATTTCCAGTTCATAATTTTGATTATTTGACTATCTCATATTTCCTTTGGATATAGGATCAGATTGTGGTGGTCATACAAGTATACATTATTAAATTACATTATTATTAAATAATGGAGTTTTGTAATCTTTGTGGAACAGTGTTATGAAGGAAATCCTACAAATTAATATTTGCTACTAGTAACAAGATAAATTAATACTTCATATCATTCAGTATTTCAGAAAGTTACGATATGTTTATACAGTGACCCTTGTTTTCCTAAAACTGTGATGAATAGGAAAGAAGTTTCCATCTAAAAGGTAGTGAAGAACCTGGCAGTCCTCAACATATTTAAACACTGAAACTGAGTTTTGCTAATCTAAATTTAAGGCAAAAAAGCCAACTATGCAAAATAGTAAACATACTGTTAGAAATATGGCATAGCTTAAAAAAAAATCTTCAAAGACTAGAAATAGCCCCATTTTTGTTAAGATCATAAAGTCTTGGAGAAATATGAGTTAATTTAATTTCTGAAAAACTAACTGAGAATATAATGAGCAGTGGAGTACTATAATGCTTGGAAAATTATATGTGAAAGGTCTTTAACTCTAGCCTGTTCATATACATCCACATCTTTTTATAATATTGGTTGACATATGTGAAAGGATAGACAAAAGAGTAAAAGTACACATTATCTGCTTTTCCAAAGGGKTTTTTGCAGAATTCACAGGGTTGTAGAATAAAAATACATAATCACACTTGTAGCTCATAGGACAAAGGAAAGAAATCAAATTCATATAAATGTACAGTACAAATACATCCTGCATTACCTTAGGATGGACAAGCTGAGCTCCTTGCTTCTAAATACAAAATAATGTGAAAAACTTTAGAGCAGCCTATTTCTATGAGGTGCTATTACACCCTCAGTTTCCACGCAATGGTCAGAGCTGAGATTTATGTACTCTGCCGTATACTCAGTAAGCAATTATACAATAATAAAAGCCTTTAAATCTTCCAAGTAGGGTCTTCTAATTGCTCTGCCTGCTCACAGGACAAATTCTATTTTCTAATTAGGGCATCCTATTTTATGAGATGTATCTCTGATACCCAGTACTTAGAAAGATATTTCCTCTTAAAGCAGAACTTTCATCTTGCTTTAGCCAGTGTGACTTGAGTTTTCACGCCTGCCTGCTCAGGGTGCCTGGGGTGGCCTTCCAGAGTTTGCATTGT